ACCGTAACCTTTTGTAATTGTCTTAAAAAAAATAGCTGCGAAGATTAAGAGTCAGGTGAACATAGTGTGCAAACTTGCCGGAGCAAGCTGGGGCGCAGCTGTAGGAGTACTCCACACCTCTGCTATGGCACTGGTCTTCTCAACGGCTGAGTACTGTGCACCTGTCTGGGCTGTTAGCACTCATACCAAATGCACGGATGTCCAATTAAATTCTGCAATACATACTATCACCGGAACCCTGAAATCTACACCAATTAAGTTTTTACCAGTGTTGGCCAATGTTGTTCCTCCAGACATTCGCCTCAATTAAGCTACATGCAGAGAGGTCATCCGCATGAATGACAACCCAGACCTTCCCATCCATAGAGATTTAAAGAACCTCCAGCTCACCGGTTGGTCTCCCAGATACCTTTGTGGATACATTTACAAGCCCTTGTAGGACATGATAGCATAGTATCTTGGAGGAAAACCTGGAATGAAACCACCTTTCAGAATAAACATCTAATTTCGACCCAACAGTAAAACCTCCTGGTTTTGACCTCCGCAAAAAAACACGGAAGGCTCTAAATGGGATCCTAACTGGGCATGGCTGGTGCGGTCACTTGATGCACAAATGGTGTACAGGCAACTCCCGCTTAGCACTGTTAATTGGTTCCTGAAAACACGAGCGTTAAGCGAAATCAAAAGTATTTGACAACCCAAGATTGCGACCAGTGTCTGGCCATGCCCCCTGCTCCTGCCATGTAAACACCAAGTGGGTCTGGGAGGAGCTGCTGCTGGGGTCCCATGCAAGTGCCACTGGGACAGGGGCGGGAGGGTATTAAACCCCACCTTCCCTGCCTCACCCTGCCAGCCCTGGCTGGAGTGTGGCCAGTGCCCCCTGCTCTCCACTTGATTGAGGAAAGAGGGAAAAAACCCCGGCAGGGGCTGCCCTCTCCCCCACTCGAGCAGTGAGCAGAGTGGGGGGCACAGAGGGCAGAGAAGCATGGCAGCCCCCACCATGGAGATCTGTGCTGGGGTCCTGTGGGCCATGGAGGGGATTTAAACCTCTTTCTCTACCCTCCACTTGTGCCTGCTGGCCCATACCCCCACCCCCTCCACTCCAGCAGGGGAAAGTCTGGCAAGGGCTGCTCTGTCCCTGCCAGGCTGTGTCCTCAGCCGAGTTTCCCACCCCCATCCCCTTGTCTGCCAGCCCTCACTGCTCTGGCTAGAGAGCAGAGAGGCAGGGCCAACCCTGCTCTGCTGGAGCAGATAGCACAGCACAGCCCAAGGCTGTAAAGCATCCTGGGATGCTGGGGGGTTGTGATTTAACTTGAAGCAAGAAGGGATCTGGGACAGAAGTTCCATAAACTAGTTTAACCTAAGTTTAAGTCTGATACTGCATTCAGCCAGGTTTATCTTAAACCAGTTTCAGTCATTTTGAAACCAGTTTATGTGCACTGAACTGTTCTGTTACAGGTTTAAACCAGTTTCTCATCACTTAAACCAGTTTGTGTAACTTCTGTCCCTAGCCCAGGAGCTCATAATTTTTCTCCCACAATAAAAGTGGCTGCTTGGGCAGAAAAATAACTTGGGAACCACCCAAGTGAAGTGGCTCCATGGAGAATATCTGTCAGGAGACGGAACTTCTGTACAGACAGAGCCATCCTTCGCAATTCCAGTGTGCATTGCTTTTCTCTTCCTCCCATGGGGGAGGGAGAGCGTGTGTCAGTCCCAGCCAAGCAGAGAGCAGAACATGCCCCTTGGGTGCTTCTGGCTGGAAAAGCCCAACACAGAAGCACTTAAGGGGCATGTTCTGCTCCTGGCTTGTTCCTTGCCTGAATCGCCTTGCAGTCCTTGGGTGCCGGAAAGCATACAAGCATATTCCTTGCACAGCCTTAGCTGGACTTCAGCACAACATGGGAGAGGGGAGAGACCAGAGGACTCTGCTGCACACGACACAGATCTTGCCCCCTACCATCTGTGACCCTGAAAATCCCTGCCTCTGTTCACGTAAAAAAAACCCCAAATTTAAAACCCCAAAAAGCTGCATTCTCTAGGGCAGCATTTCTCAACCCATGGGTCGTGACTCAAAAGTGGATCGCAAGAATATATGAAAGGATCACGAACAAACTTTAAAAAAAAATGGATCAACAAACTTTAAAATATGGGAAACCATGGGTTTTCCTTTGCAGGCTGGTAGAGTTCCAGCCTGCAAGGGGCTACTTGGGGCCCCTCCTGCCCCACACACCCACCCCCTACCCCACACAGGGGAGGGGAGGCAGGGGCAGCAAGTCAGGAGTGAGGGTCACTGGGTTGGGACAGGCCATTGATGTTTATAAATGGGTCCTGGTACAAAAAAAGGTTGAGAACTGCTGCTCTAGGGAATCCTGGGCAGCACAACATCCATATACAGGCTCTTTGCTGTTCTTTCTGATCTTGTAGGGGTCAGTTTTTGTCTCGGGAAAGCTAACCTGGGAGAGTGGCTCTGGATGATTTGAATGTGTTTACACAGCCATAGTCTTCTGTAATATCACTTTAAAGGACTAAGAGCCAGCAGAGAGAATTAAACAAGTAGAGTTAAGTAGAAACAGTGAGAGGGCACGCATCTTCAAGGCTCAGTTGCCGTAATTGGTAATTTTTACATTCTTACAGATGACAGAAATCCTTTCTATGTTAGCCACTGTACATCGTTTAGTATGTAGAATGAAACTACTTGTGTTATGCTTTGAGAGTGACATTGCAGGCCAGTGTACTTATGGTACCAAAAAAAAAGATGAAAAATCTAAACTTCAAGGAAACATTTAGCTCAAAACCCTGTATATACACTCCTAATTTCACATCCTGTCTTTTAACTGACTGCTTAGAAGATAGCAGGATAATATAAAGCTTAGCTCCCTATCTCTTCTTCACTAAGTGGAGGCACTGACTTAGTGACTCTCGTTTTCACTATATCATTGAGGAGATCCAGCACTGAACAAAATAAGCACAACCTCAGGCATATGCCCTAAGACTAGCTGTCATTTTGAGATGATTTTTTTCCAGTAAAATGGTAATGAAATTAATATGGATCAGTAGTGTCCAGAATGAAATTGCTTTTCTGTATAACTCTAACTTACTGCTTTTAATCAAAGACAGGCTTTTGGGACAAAGGGAAAATTAACATTTTCTTAGTCCAGGCAGGATAATTGCAACAAAAAAAGGCACGATAGAAATGTTTTAATGAAGGTGCCCACTTCTAGATTTAAATGAGCTGTTAGAGGACAGTTCATCTGTATCTGAAAATAGGCTAATTAGAGCAGCAAACTCTTTCCATGCTGTATTTATTATATATAGGTTGCAGATGCTCTGTACATGATGAACATTGGGTTCTGAAGTCCAAAAGTGTGTTAAGTTCTCAAATACTTATCACAGAAGAAAGTGAATCACAAAAGTGACAACAAACAAGTCAAGAAATCAAACCTGACCAAACCTTTTTTGTCTCCAAGTATACAATTGCTTTGGCTCAGAAAGCTACTGTTCTCTCAGTTTGCAAAGAAATGTATTTTTTCTGAAAGTAAATGCATACAATCATAATGTTAGCATGTTGTTGTAGCTGAAAGAGCCTTCTCATTTGGCGTCACTAGCAAAAGCACAAACAAAACCTGTGCCTGTTCAATTTTGTTCTTAATGTCATTCTTTTATACTCAGCAGACGCAACATATGCATCCTGCTTTGAAATCTGTCCTTAAAAGATGCCTGTCTCTGTGATATGTTACTGTCTGACTCGGTTACAAGTAAAACAGATTCATCTTTCTGTTAAAGGAAAATAAATAAAATTCCCAGACAGAAGTATCAGTGATTTAATAGGGCTTTGCGAAGCTTCAGTAGCCGATTTGATTCAGAGGCGATTTGGCCTGATTCGGGGACCAAATCTCTGAATCTAAATCGAATCGAGAGACTAATTAAAAGCTCCAAGTCAATTCCAAGCATCCAAATCAATTCGGAAAAGGTTCGGCCATAGACTACACAGGCAGCTGACACAGCTGCCTCCAGGTGGTAAGTCTGGGGTTGGGCAGGGCCATGGGGGAGGGAGGGACCGGGGCTGGGGCTGGAACAAGCTGCCCAGCCAAGGCGGGGGCACGGTAGTGTTGGGAGCACAGGCTATGCCCAGCTGCCACTTGCCGCCTTCCACTTGGAGCAGGCCACACCCACATGACACCCCCGCATCCTGCACCCCTCCCCGAGTAACGCACCCTACCCAGCTGGGCAGCTTGTCCCATCCCCAGTCCCCCCCCAACCCCAACAGACTTACCTGCTGGAGGGTGCTGTGTCAGCCGCCTGTTCAGTCTATGACTGAATCTCTGAAACGGCACCAAATCTTTCAGAACCAATTTGGCCAAATTGAATTAAGACAGCGATTCAAATCTCCAAATCTAATCACTGTCCTCTGAATCGGCCGAATCCAAATCCGAAGTAAATACTTGCCGCTTCGTACAGGCCTAGTGCTTAAATCTGAATAATCACCCTTTTACTACCCCTCCCCCCTCCATACACACACATTAATTTGCTGGAGCTGGCAATTTTTAGCAAAGAATTTTGTTCTAGCTCAGTGATTGTATAGACAGGCTTGCCACAAATCAGCCCCATACATTTCCAGAGTGCCACTCTGATCCCATTCCTCTACCTGATGTGCTGCTCTGCTTTCTGCTCTACTCTGCTCAATCTCCTGCTCTGCTTTCTAATTCCTCCCTTGTGCTCCCTACTTGATTTAGCTTTGTCTTCTGCTTCCTGCTCTATCTCCTGCTGTGCTGCCTGTTCCCTCCCTGATCTGCTGTATGCCACATGGGCTGCCCATGACTCTTGTGATATTCATGGTACAGGTTGGCCAATCTGGTGTATAATAATGACTTTACTTTCGATGTTCATCTCTTGTATTGTTCCAGCATTACATACTGATTAAAGTCCACCTTAGTGGTTGATAACTAAATTAGTACTTTGAAGTGTGATGAAATTATTAAACTGTCTTCCTTTATTGACAGCATTAACAAGGAGAGCATTGTGGATGTAGAAGGTATTGTGAGGAAAGTGCATCAGAAAATTGGAGGCTGTACTCAACAAGATGTTGAGCTGCACATTCAAAGGGTAATTTTCTAACCAAATAGTCATGGGTGAAATATCTGATATGCTTTTTAAAAAGGGTTTTATAAAAATGTTGTCCATTTGTATTATACATGTAAGGGAAATATGCTTTGTAAACTAGTCACCAAGTAATTTGCATTAAGCCCACAAACTTAACTGTTTAACACAGGGGTTGTCAACTGCGGATACTTGAAACGGTCCTAGGGGGTACATGGAAGCAGGTGGGGATGGAGCGCTGCAACCTCCCAGGAGCAGAGCCCGGGGGTGGGAGCCACAAAGGGCAGCAGCGCCCCTCTGTGGGCTACACATGCACTACCTGGCTCGCCGGACATGGGGGAAGAGGTGCGTGGAGCTCGCACATGGCGGCCACCATTCACCATCCCACACTGCCACCCACCGCCACATGTGAGCTTTCCCCCCCTGCTCGGCGTCTGGGCACCACCACCCAAAAGGGTACAGTTCTTAAAAAAGGTTGTGAAAACCCTTGGTTTAACACCATAAGCACAAAACACTTCTGCCTTCCCTTGACACATTTTTAAGAACTTGTGGCATATATCTGCTCCTAAAACATTTGGTTTGGGATTATAGTTTGATCTACTATATTTACTCAAATATAAGATGAGTTTTTTTCCCCCTCAATTAGCATTGGGGAAAAACACGTGTGTTATAATTGCGTACAAGGAAACCTCATTAAATGCATTGTCTATCATTAAGCTGCTGCCAAAAGTATCACATGCTCAATACTAGAAACCAACTAATGAAGCTGATTATACGCAGCCAACACTGAGCATGACTGTAAAACACATGTCCCAAAATCAGCAAACAGAGTGAGGGGAATCTTCCACAAGGATTGGTTAGTGCAGCCCATCTGAATAAGATAAATGGTAGCATTAATTGCAGCCCCCCCTCAGTACCAACTCCTTTTTCAAGTCATGGGGAGCCACTACACTGAATACATTTCCACTTCCTCTTCATTCCCACAGCTGAACTGCACCTTTCTTTCCCAGATCCAGTGATTCCTGTTTCTTCACCAGCCTTAAGTGTCTGGCAAACATCACCAAGCAGGGCCCCAAACAATTCACTCAGCACTCCTTCTCTCAGCCTGCCACATGATTAGCATGGTCCTGTTCTCCTTGAGGTGAAGCTGGACCAGGTTGCCCTACGCCTCCATCTGCATATAAGTTTCTGGAACATCCCAGGACTCGTGACAACACCCAGTTCCAATAATGAGTGGGGGCTAATTAACACGTAGATCCTTTGTGGGGTATATCTGGAGTACACATGCATACTGAGCTGTGGCATCAGCCAACACTGCTTTCTGACACCTACTGCACTGTGGCTTGAAATGTTGTCTACTTTGGTGGGGCCTAGTCCAATGAACTCTGTGGTGCATCATGAGTCTTTTGACTTTGGACTGATATCATGCATAGTTTGTACTATGGGTAAGTAGGTAAATAGGTAAAATGCATCAATTCTGGACAAACGAAGTCTATGGGTACCTGTAGTAATTTGCCTATATGGTAAATTATATTTATTTCAATGTCAGTGTCTTTGAATTTGCCCCTCATTTCCATGTGTTCGGGGAAAGCAGGTTTTTATAGTAAGGAGTGGGAGAAAGAAGGCTGGAGACAGAAGAGGGCAAAAAGGAAGGAGGCTACCTGACTCATCTTCCCAGATTTATTTTCCTTGCTGTAGTGAGAGCGGGACAAATTCAAGGCAGACCTCCAAAATTTAGATTCTGTACCTAGAAAATAATAACAAATGTATAAATTGTCCATATATAGAATCCAGTTATTGAGGGGGTTGTCTTATATTCAGGGTTATCTTATGTTTGAGTAAAAATGGTATTTACCTAAAACAATTTGGGTAGGGGTTGGCTTTTAATTCCTATTTTGATTTTTTGTTAGAAAAATCAGATTCAAACAGATCATCCTTTCTCTTTCTAGGCATAAGCCTAGGAATTTTCCTAGATGGTTCTTTCAACACAAATGCAAGTGTCTTCACTATAATAAAAAGGGTATCTTATGAAGTGGTCTGTTCAACAGTGGTAATGTTTGCTTTGACCTAATGTTACTAAAGTTCTGGGAAATACGCAGAAGGGAAATTCCAAATTCCCCTATTTGCATATTGAAGCTAGAGGGAGTGTAGCTCTACAGTTTGTTTAAATAGAATTAGCGACTAATGGTTACATAACCATCAGCTGAGCACTTTACACTCTACACATACAACATCACTGCAACTCAGTTGCCTTGGGGTTGGAGTACAGTAACCAGCTAGTGTATAAAGTATAATAAATAGGTGCAGTGGAGAAGTAAATTTTAGGAAAGGATACCAGAAAAGCCCCTACAGCTACTCAGTTTGATCAAATATGCTTGAATATGATGCTAATCAGGTACACTTGATTTTTACAAAAATGCTGCTGACATGCACCTTACTGCATGCTTATTTAGAATATAAGATAAAGGAATGTCTTTTACTCTGTATTTGAAACTCCAGGCTGTATTGGCTGTAATAGCAATAGTAATAGAGTGAGGACTAAGATGACCCTGCTGAGATCCAGATCCCAAATTGAATTAAGCCTACATATTTAAAACCTTTTGTTTGGGCCATTAGGCCACCCCCTTTATGCAGCACCTCCCAGATGTGTACACTTAAAAACAACAACAAAAAACCCCCCAAACAGATTTAAAAAACCCCACGAGTGATGTTTCCTATTTTTCAAAAGGAAGAAATGATACTTACATATTCCCAGTCCTGTTGTGAAAACATCCCTGTGTTCTTGACCGTGAGAAAAAATTACATTCTTCTAGCTAACGACTTATGCAAATGCTGTTTCATGTTTAGTCCAGAAATACCCTTTTATATATCACACCTCATTTTGAACTGGGTTTTATACTATTTCTGTTACTGTCTCGCTTTCAGATCTATGTGATCAGTTTGGCTGAACCCCGATTGCCCTTGCAGCTGGATGATGCTGTTCGGCCAGAGGTGGAAGGAGAGGAGGTGAAAACTCTTCATCATTGATATATCTCTGAACTTGTTGTATTTGTACTTGAGCAAAAGCTAGAAAGCATAATAGTTTCTCTTCTCAATGCTGTGATACTTTTCTGAATGCATTTAATTTCCTTTATATTGTCCAGATTGTGTTGTGTTCCTTGAAACCTTCTCCATTTATAATACTTCCTGAGCTAAGTACTTTGCAGACAACATCCCATTATACCAGTTAGAGATGTAGGAGCTTTTTGTGAAATAGAAACATCATATGTTGTATTCCAGGTCCTTAGCAGTCTCTGAGTCTGGTTTCTGCTTTATGTCCATTGGGAAAGGTCATCCCTTAAATTCTTGTTCACATTGGGAATGAAGAATTAGGTTTGGATTGCTGTACTGTAGCTCCAGAATAATACTTGAAGTCATTCTACTAAATAACCCTTGGCTTTTAATGAGAGTCTTTTACTCTGTTTAGGATGTTTCTTTGCAGGCATCTGGTTTCATTATGTATTTCTACACTACTCTTTAGGATGGAAGAGCTACTGTAAACCAGGATACAAGGTTGGACAACAGAGTCATTGATTTGAGGGTAAGGAACACACTGTTGTATGGTAAACTAAAGCTTTTTGGAGCTGTGAAAACCCCTGGGTTTGAGTTTGATAGTTCTGAGCTTGTTTTAACTGTTCATTTATAAATAACAGTGAGGAAAGAAACCACTGTTATATATATGCAGTTGCATTGAACTCCAGCTAAGATAAAAGTATCTCCTGATAGGAAAACATTCACATTTTAAGGTACTCATGTCCAACTGACAGAATTCCAGGTAAGGAACAGGTTATGAACGTGCAGGTTGGGGATTCTAGATGACATTATAAGGATTCAAAGGATTTGGGATTAAGTCGGAATAACGTGTAATTTAAGTTCTTAGTTAAGGTTTCATTTCAAGCCTCTGGAGTGGGAAACTTATGGGAGATATTTCTTTGGTTGCTTATGTCTGAGAAGTGTAGGTTCCTCTTAATGGGATTTTTGGCCCCAAATAACAGCATCCTCGGTACCATTTTCCCAGACCTTACAATAATACAAACTCAAATGCAAGGCTTTCCTTTAAAGAGGATATGGGTTTTTGCTTACTGTCAGTCCAAGAAAAAATGGTTAGTTGCTTTTAGAGGTTTAGAGACAAGTGCCCTGTTTTTACACCCGACTGTGGTGCTGTACAACTAATAGTACACTATTTAACTACTGTAGTGAAACAGAATGTAGGTGCCTAAATCCTCACTGTTCTTCAGAACCCTTTCTCAATCCCATAGGCACCTATATTCCATAAAGTCCTAAGTTTTTACCAGTGAAGTTCCCTAAGCATCTGAAGTTCTGGTCCTGCACATGCCTAGAACTGCCTGCATCTTGTCAGAATTGAGCAGGTTGGTATGTCTCATAGCCAAGCCTGATAGACTAGGGGTTGGCAACCTTTTCAGGCTGCAGGCCAAATTTACCCAGTTTGGGTCAGAGACTAACCAGTATATGGCAGGTAGGCACTAGCACCCAGCTGCTGCTGCTGCTTTTTCCAGCAGGTGCACTGGAAAAATGTCCACAGCTGGCACTTTTTTCCTTGCAGTGGCAGGGGGCTTCAGCAGCAGTTGCTTTCCCCTGCTGCCATAGGGGCGATCACTAGCTACAGACACTTTCCCCATGCAGTCAAGGGGAAAAGCAGTGACTTGCAGGCACTTTCCCTGTGTAGTTGCTGGGAAAAGTAGTGGCAGCAGGTCATCTAACTGCTGAAGCCCCACATCTGCAGCGGGATCCAGCGTATAGGCCATAGATTGCTGACCCCTGAACTAGACCCTCGGCATCGTGTAGTAGGTGGGTACAGATCATGCCCAGTACACACCTAAAGAATTGAGTTCCACACAAGCCAGCAGTGGCTGCCATTTTCAATTTAAAAAAATACGGCCAGAAGGGGAGAGGGTATGAGTGGTAACTAATAATCCTTTTTATATGTTAACCTAACAGTTCAAGCATTCATCTGTAAGGAAGAAGGCCTAGTCTCTGACCCCTGGTCCAAGGCCTGATTGTGCATTATATCCAATAACTGTTTAACGTAAAATATCTGAATGGATCTTGGAGCAAGGACTGCAATGCAGCTCTCCCCCTTCACCAGAGTGTACCCTAACAGTCATGCTGTTTCTGTGTAACCCACTGAATCTTGAATTTTTGTCTGCTGTTATGTAGCTACAGGAAGATGATAATGAGTGCTGTCGTCTCAGAATAAGAATCAGTAGTTTAGTGATTAGGGTGTTTGTTTGGGTTCCCCAAGAAGAGAAGGGGAACCCAGGTCTCCTGTTTTCCGGGCTTAGTGTTCTCATTGCAAAGCTGTTGGCTTTAAAAATATATATATATAAAAAATAACACCTTTGCTTGCAGGGAGGGGCAGGATTTCAGGAACACCTTTGTCTTCCTGATTACCTGCGGGTTAGTGTAGCTAGACTTTGCTCGGCATACTGGCTCTCGTGAATCCTATTCTGAGACATCTAACTTTCCCCATGTATATATGGGGATTTTAGGATCCTAATTCCCTTTGGGTTATAGTCCTTAGTTCATAGCCCATATTACCATCAAACAACTTGCAACTTATCAGCTGCTGAAAAGAAAGGCATTGCTGGGCTAGTTAGGGTATTGTATGTTAGGACTGAGATACATTAGCAGTGCAAGCCAGTATGGGGGTGGGAAGCTTGCCCAGTGATTGCTTTTTTCATTCTTGAAGAAATGAAAGAATGTTTAGTGTTTACCCAGGGGAAAAACTAACAAATTATTTTCAGTTTGTGGGGTGGGGGTGGTGGGAGCAATCTTTATCTCTACATACACATGCAAACAACAATAAAGAACTAATCAGATGCTGTATATCCCCTTCCTGAAATTCATCAGAAAGCAATATTGATTTGGAGGAGGACATTTAGGATCTGGCTGAGGGCCATGTACAGCTGGGTCCCTGTTTTATTAATGAAATCCCGGGTGACTGAACATGAATAACACAGAGAAATGCCATTTCCCCTCAAATATAGTGTTTGGTACCCAAGAAACTTAATAGGAACTCAGTTTGAAATATCAGATGGAGGTCTTGAATTTAGCATATAATTTAGATATGTTCTACCAGGGGTGGCCAACCTGTGGCACTCCTGTCACAAGTGGCACAGGCAGCCTTTGTGGGTGGCACACAGCAGATCAGGGAGGGTGCAGGGAATACAGCATCAGAAGCAACGAGGGGTGGAAAGCAGAGGACCAGTTAGGGCAGGGAGCACAGGGCAGAGACCAGAAACCAGAGCAGCACATCAAACGGTAGAAGGGGATTAGAGTGGCATTTGGGAAGGATGCACAACTTAGCTTGTGCCTGCCAGAAAGGTTGGCCCTCACTGTGCGATACTATACTACTGTAGCCTATCTCACATATAGTATTATATTAAGTAATGATGCTAGCCTCAATATCTTGTTAGTTCATTTTTCTTACAGTATTCCCTGGGCTTTCTTCCTACACATAGAACACCTTTGTCTCTCTGGACCAGTTTAGTAATCTCAAATACCTACTATTTTTACCTTAGCTTGGAGAAATTATCTGGCTAAATTTTCTTACTTTTATTAATTTCTTTGAAAAATGAAACCAAAAAAATATGCTCTACTGCATCATGCATTTGCCTTAATTGCGTGTCCCTGCTCAGATGGCTCCTGTCCTTCCTTCCCTTCTGCCTTTCAAGACTCCACATTGAAACGATATTTGTATAAACTCATAAGAAAATGAACAGCCCTTTGTTTTTTGTGTTGCGAGGTTCCTAGCACCTCTTGAAAACTATCAATATAATAAATAGTAGTGACACAGATTCTCAATAAACAAATCGTGCGAGTGGGAAGCCAAGAATCAATGGTCATTTGTTTCATCAGAAAGTTTGGAAAAATACTGGCATTGAATTCATTAGGGACTTATAGGAATGTCTTATTTTTTCAACTACCATACTTTGAATTATCATCGCAGTGGGAGTTATTTTATTTAGACCAAGATTAATGGCTTCTCACAGGGCCTTATCCTGTAGGATGCTAAGAAACCTCAGGTCTTGTTTACTTCTTGGGGGGTACTGGGGCTCTCTGGATTGGTCCCCTCATCAGCACATCATTGAATAGTGTATTTCATTTCAGAATCTAAAATTCGGATTTATGAAGTACTAGTATTGTAAATGCTGTAATGTGAGCGTTGTTTGAAAGACCTTAAAAATGGTAGTGGTAAAGGCAGCATGGTAAGTTGCAAGAAGTCTGGTGGGATGCTGGAAGTGTCCAGTTTTAGTAAATACCTTCTGTTGATCTGGCAGGAAGGCTCAGCAGCGCACACATGAAATCCTCTGGGGATGCCAAACTGAAAAAAGCTGTGAAGACCAAAGAGAAATAATACCATGGATCTCTACTTGAGGAATACTAGCAGGAAATAACAGTTTGAGATGGTGCATCTGGGGAGGGGGGGAAAAAACCATGTAATAGATATATAGTTAGGAAAAAACAAAGCTTCATGCCAAAATAAACACGAGGGACAGGGCAGAAGGGGGCGAAGCTAAGTGTGGAATAACTGTAGACCTTGCTCTTCTCTAACTACAGACCTGTTAAGTTCCTCGGTTCTCTTTTTAAGATGATAAGCTAGTAGATTTTCACCAGAGTTTGCATCCATACCTGCGAGTACAATTAGTGCCAGCTGGTCAGACTCTGCCTTGCACACACAAGTGGCAGGATGACAGTGCATGTGGTGCATTCTCACTGTTGATGGTTTTCTTGCTTGGATATCCATTAAATGTAGCTGGTGACCTTCAAGAGGATGGACTCTCCTGGACACCTTTTCATCTCAAATACAGTTGCAGTACCTCAGCTGTCCAGAAACTTCTGGAGTCCCATTTGGTATATGACATCTTTCTAATCCCCCAACTCTGCCTTCAGCAGAAGCCATCTTTACCTCCCCTATGTTGCTAAGCAGCATAGGCAGTGTTTTAAACTGAAAAATGGGAGTGATCCATTGTAAAAGCATGTCTTAAGAGTATAGGATGATTTGGATAGGAAAGATGCTGCCTGTGGCAGGGTGTTGGACTAGATGATCTGTGGAGGTCCCTTCCAGCACTACTTCTCTGTGATTCTGTGATAGGTCAGAAGGGCATCTGAAACTCAGTAAGGCAATTTAGCCTCTTGATGGGCTCAGACGTAAGGATGAAAGATCAGATCATAGTCCCTTCTCCCCCCTCTTTCTACATGTGTAGCCCCTTCAGTAGTCAGAACCTGGCTCTAACTCCTGTGACTACAGTTAGGTACTCACTGAGCCTTCTCTTGGGCAGTTTCTATCTACTTCTGTCACATTTCTTTCTGTCTTTTTAATGCCTGTATGAGTACAACTGCTTCCCTCTTTGTTCTGGAACAAAAACCCAGGGTCAGGCTTATGCCTATTCATAAGCTAGCTTTACAATAGAGGGTGCCAAAATGGTTATGCATGAATCTGACCCTGAATTTTTGTTAAAGAACACACAGAGAGAGTTGAATAGACAGACAAAAAGTTAATAGAGTAAGGAAGGCTTC